AGGATAAATGGAGAAATAAAAGAAATTGATAACAAAAACAATAGAACAAAATCTCTGAAACTGAAAGCTGGTTTTCATAAAATTTGAATAAAATTGATAAAATGATGACTTTACCTTTACTAATAAGGGGGGGAAAGGAAGACAAGTTATCAATAGCAAAGTGAAAGGGAGGGCATTGCAATAGATACTTCAGATTTTAAATGAACTTTAGAGAAATATGAACATTTTCATGACTATAAATTTGCCAAACTGGATGAAATGGACAAATTCCTAGGCAAAATCAACTTGTTAAAACTGACCTAAGAAAAATGGAAAACTTGCACAGCTCTTTATCAATTAAATTAAATTTATAAATCAAAAGCTTCAAAAAGTACTAACCCTACATAGACTTTCAAAAAGGCAATGTTTGACCATTTGTCTTGTAAAGCCAGTATTACCCTGATTCCTGTTAGACTGAAAGAGACACAGAATAGATGGCGGGGTGAGGGGGTGGGGGTGAGGGAGGATGGTTCAGATGCCAGGACAGAGTTTATTTGGGGAGAAACCTTGCAGAGGGGAGTTTCTAGCTAAAACCAGAACCCCACTGCTGCTTACAGACTTGCAGTAGATAAAAGAGAGGGGTCTGGAGAAGTATTGCTGGGTGGGAAAATTTTTCCAGAGGGTAAGTGGTAATTAGGTAGATAGGTTGCTAGCAGCTCCAGACCGCCCCTCCCAAGAATTTGTCCTTCCCTTGAGGCTAGATGTGATCCTTCCAGTAGGTCATGGGTATTGGGATATTTCCAGTAAGCTGCCTACAAGGGTGGGGATCCCCTAACATGGCTTCCCTTTTGTTCACCCTAACAATTCCTAAAGGAGAGAAGACACCACAAGAAAAGATAACAGACCGATATCCCTCATAAGCATAGATCTTAAGAAATGCTTATGAAGGCATCAGTAAATTGGTTCATGACCAAGTGGTGTTTGTCTTGAGACCACAAAATTAATTTAATAGCCTAAAATCCTATTCTAAAATAAATGTAATTCACTGGTCAACATGCTTCTTTAGAAGAAAACCTATTATTATTTAAATAGATTTCAAAAAAGCCTTTGACAATGTGTAATACCCTTTTATGATTAAAAACTTGGACAACCAGTAAGAAAAGGGAATTTCTTCAACCTGGTTATGGGTCTCTGTATAACAGCTAACATAATATTCAATGATGAAAGTCTCAGCTTTCTAACGATGAGGGACAGGGAAAGATGTTGATTCACCATCTTTATTTTAAATTGTGTTGGACATCCTAGTCCTTGTTGTAAACTGAGATAAGTATAATCCATGCAGTTTGGAAAAGAAGTAAAATTGTCCTTATATGCAGATGACATGATTGTTTTTACAGGAAATCCTAAGGAATCTACAAGTAAATTTATAGAGCTTTAGCTGGCTCCTAGATACAAGGTAAATATACAAAAATTAGTAACACCAAATAGTTAGAATATTAAGTAAAAAAAAGAAAGCTTCGTTGACTTTACACTGAAAAATGTTAGAGTATTAGAAATGGAATTAAGTCTATATAAGTAAATAATAAAGTGATATACCATGTTTTTATGTTAGAAAACTTAATATTGTAAAAAAGGCAGTCCTTTCCAAATCTGTAAATTTACTATAATCCCAAACAAAATTGTAATAAGCTTTTTTGTTTTTCATGAAGTATACACCACAATACACACACAAACACCCCCCAAAGGATCCAAAATTACCAAAAAATTTTAAGAACAAAGTTGGACTTATATCAAAGCTATTACTATAATCCCAAACAAAATTGTAATAAGCTTTTTTGTTTTTCATGAAGTATACACCACAATACACACACAAACACCCCCCAAAGGATCCAAAATTACCAAAAAATTTTAAGAACAAAGTTGGACTTATATCAAAGCTATGCTATTCCAGATAGTGTATTATGGGCCTAATGGTAGACATATAGGTCAACGCAACAGAACAGAATCTAGAAATAGACTTGTACTCATGTGAGTTCATTTTTGAAAAAGGCACTAAGGCAGTGCATTGAAGAAAGAAGTGTTTTTCAGTAAGTTGTGCTGAAACGCTAGAAAAAAATATGTATGAAAAGAAGAAGAAAAAAAAACTCACCTGAATTCTTTCCTATACTATGCACTAAAATACAAATAAACATTATTATAAAATCTAAATAGAATCCCCAAACAGTGAAACCTCTTTTAAACACTTAGGGAAAGTCTTGGTGACGCTGGAATTAGGCTTTTGAAAAAGACATACAAAGCATGTAGGAAATATTGATAGAAAGGAATTCTTTATAGTTAGCAACTTTTGCCTTTTTGAAAGGCAGAAATACAAAAAAGCAAGTCAGACTGACAAAATCTTGCAAACCATATTGAAAGGGTATGTTTACACAGACAATCCAATTTAAAAGTGGGAACACATCAGATCTTCACACACAAAAAAGCTATTTGACGGCTAATAAGCACATGAAAAGATGCTCTGCATCACTGGTCACCAGAGAAATGCACATTAGAAAACACACTGTCACACCACTAGAATCCACTAGAATGGCTGCCATTAAAAGAACTGACAGCATCACAAGCTGTTAACGATGTCAATGGTCTGTAACAAAATAATCATAGATGGGACAGTTTAAAGAGCAAATTTATTTCTCACAGTTCTCGACGCTGGAATGCCCAAGATGGAGGCACTGGCCAATTCTGTTCCTGATGAGGCTCTCCTCCCAGCTTACAGATGGCCTTTTTCTCACTGTGTCCTCATGTGACCTGTCCTCTGCTCATATGAGGGGAGACGGAGGGCGAATACAATAAGCTCTCTATTGTCTCTTCCTGTAAGGACACTAATCCCTTTGTACAAGGGCTCCGCTCTCATTACCTCATCTAACTCTGCTTATCTCCCAAAGGCCTCATTTCTAAATAGTGTCACATTGTAAGTTAATACTTCAACATGAATTTTGAGGGCGTGTGTGGGGATATGTGGCACAAATATTCAGTCCATGACATGGAGCCATTAGAATTCACATACATTGCTTGTGGAAATGAAAATGGTGTGGCCATTTTATAAAATAGTAATGTAGTACCTTGTAAATTCACAAAGTATATTTATTATATCAGAAATTCCACTTTTAGATATTTACCCAACAGAACTGCAAATAATGTATTGAGAAGACATGCACCTGAATGGTCATAGAGGATTATGCACCTAGCACAGACGGGGCTGAATGTTTGTAGAGACTGATGAATAAGTAAGCAGATTGTGGTATAGCTGTACTGTGGAGTAGTGTTAGACAACAAAAGAGCACAGAACACTAACAGAGTTACAACACAGACGAATCTCAAAAGCAAGCCAAGTGAAAGATGCTAAACTCAAAAGATAATCAGTGTGTGACTCCGTTTATGTGACATTTCTACATAGGCAGAAACCGCCCTGACATGTCAGAGGTTAAGGATGGGTGAAGAGGATAAGTGCCAGGGGCACAAGGACATTTTTAAGGGGGAGAGAATTCTGTATCTTGGTTGCAGTGCTGGTAATAGAATTGTATGCAGTTATCAAAATTCATCAAACTATTTAAGATTAATGAATTTAATTTACATATAATAAATAATAGTGAAAAGGGGGGAGATGAATTGATGAGGTGTAGAAAACCTAGAGAAAATAAAATGTATTATAAAATGAGTTCATGCTTTATATAACTATTTTAACTTGAGGCTTCCTAATATATGTGTTAAAAAGTTCTCATTTTTTTCATTTTGGATGGGAAGAATAACAATGTGTGTTCATGCTTCTATGTATGCATAGTCACCTAGTCACACATACAAAATTTCTGTCAAGAAGCCAGTTTTTCATTTTGGATGGGAAGAATAACAATGTGTGTTCATGCTTCTGTGTATGCATAGTCACCTAGTCACACATACAAAATTTCTGTCAAGAAGCCAGTTGCCAGTGGCTCCTGTCTGTAATCCTAGCTACTTGGGAGGCTGAAATCAGGAGGATCACAGTTTGAGGCCAGCCTGGCCAAATAGTTTGAGAGACCCTGATCTCCAGAATAACCAGAGCTGGACTGGAGGTGTGGCTTAAGTGGTAGAGCACCTGCTTAGAAGCTCAAAATCCTAAGTCCAAATCCCAGTCCCACCAAAGAAAAAAAATTCTATGCATATGTTAATGATACTATATGTTTTATAGTTTACTATTAATAATGTTTTTTTAATTTATTGACTCATAAAGAACATTATAACTATTTTCCAAATGCCTGTATGTATCCATTATTACTTCTCAATTAAATTTATTTTCATCTATTGAATCATCACAAAAGGGTTCTGGTTTTTCTTTTCATGTTTTAACAGTCAAGTCATTCCTCTCACTTATGCTCTTGTGTGAAAGGTTTTGTTTTGTTTTGTTTCAGTACTGAAAAAAACCACAATCCTCCTGATCTCAGCCTTCCAAGTAGCCAGGGTTACAGGTGTCAGTCACAGGTGCCTAGCACATGAAATTTTTTTTTAAGTGCTTTGGCTTTTTCATAGTGAAAACATTCTGTACTGTAAAATGTTTACTAAACCTGGGAGAAATTTTCATTTGATTTTGAGTGAACACTTAGGCTATCTCTAATTTGTATAAGAGAAAAATTATCAACACTATATTTTGCTTCTGCATAAACACAATGCAGTATACCTTAAGTACAGAAGTATACTATCACCTTGAGTTTTGTAACTAGTAATAATAACTAGTGGGGAAAAATTCTGATGGCCTCTCTCCTGGTAATTGTGACCTGTAAGTGCCCATGAATAAGTGGTTCTTTGTTTTCTTTTGGGGCTGATAGTACTTCTTTGCTTGATGTGCTGGAATTTTTAAGTGTAACTTGGGAAACCTCTGCAGCCTAAGCATCTGAATGAAAACTCATCAAATACTTTGGTTAGTTTGAAGGTATATCATTTGAAAGATTATCTTCAGAGGCATGTAACATACCTTCTTTTTTTTTCCTTTTCAGTTAGAATCAACAGGACTTGGCCTTAGTAGTAGTAGACTAAGAACAACTCTAAACAGGATACAAGAAAGCCTTATTGATCTGGTAAGTAATTAATTGGAATTATATAATTTGAGTTATATGAAATAGGAGCTAATCACCTAATCAACTATACATAAATTTGTATCTATGTATGAAGTGCCTGAGCTCTAGTATTTATACTAAGTACATGAGGATGTAAAACAGGTTGTTTATAGTCTGGCAGATCTCTGTGATTGGGATACTGGTATAAGCTGAAGAGTTGTGTGGGAGAGTGTCTGAGATCACTTTATAATTTAAGGAGAAAGTTTGGGTATAGTTTGCCATGTAGTAGGGAGCCCCAGTTCTTGACTGTCCTGTCACATGATGAAACACAAGAAGATTAGTGAGCAACACAAAGGTGACTCAGTAGTTTTTAATCCAGCAGAATCATTTAGTATAAGAAAAATAATTTCTTGTGGTTAGCCACTGTTGTCAGAAATTTATGTTTTTCAGGACAGTTCTCTGCATCTACATTAAGCCTAGACTTCTGTGGATTTTCCTTTGACCTACCCCAAGTAAACGATAATTTTCCTCTTTTTCATAGTACCTATATTATGTATATGCTTCTGTTATTGAAATTTTTATAAAGCAATGTAATCATTCTTTTAAGAAATACTAGTTGGATGTGGTGATTCGCACCTATAATCCCACCACTTGGGAAGCTGGGGCAGAAGCATTGAGAGTTCCACGTCAACCTTGGCTACATATATATGTACATATTTATACATACATATATGTATGTATGTATAAATGTGCAATAATTATTGTGTGCCAGATATGTTTTGGTGCTAATAATCCATCAGTGCACAGAAAAGATAATTCCTATGTCCTGTTTCTTTCTCTTAGAAGTTTTATTTTATTGGAGCAGAGACACCTATATAGGGAATAATGACAAGGAATAAAAAGGTCTGCTCATGTTTAGTACAGATGCTTTTTTCCCCAAATTATTATTGATCTTTGATTGGTTGAATCCACACACAAGGAACCTATGGATATGGAGGGCTGACTGTGTAGTCATAGTACTTTCCTTGACACATAACATCTCTAGTAAATATTCATAAATAGATGAATAAACTCCAGTCCCTGGTTCCATGTTTCCTGTCTTTATCTGGCTTGTTCTTTTGGCCTTGCTATCATTTCTATCCTTGATCTTCGTTTTCAGATAAAAGGATCCTTGGTTGACATAGCCTGTTTTTTTTTTTCTCAAATCCTTTTTTTTTTTTTGCTGTTTCATTTTTAGGGATAAAAATTTTACCATTTTTTTCTAGTTTTTATCAGCATGTATTAGTTCTACAAGGGGTATTATTTACTAAAATGTAACCTCAGGTTTTTTAAGCTGACATATTAATTTGCTTCATTAGTTTGCATCTATATTGGCAGAGAACATAGTTGATTTCCTACTATTTAATACATTTTTGGACAGTAAAATAATTTATAGCTTAATCAATATGGAACCAACAATGTGGAAGTAATATTTTTTCTTATATGTCAGTAAAAAATCTTAATATACATTTTTTCATAATTTTCTCTATGTATCTTCTAATTTTTACTTTTCCCTAAGTTGTAAAAGGCAAAATGGAATCACTTTGATCTTAGAAATACTACCTAAAGTAATTTATCATGTAACATCAGTGTAAACTAAGAAAATATGTTTGACACATCAAATAAAATTCTAGCAGAGGAAGTCTAGTGGAGAAAAAAATAGGAAAGGAAATTGGTATGGGCAAAAATGATAACAGAGATATGAATTTCTAATCTTCTTTTTGGTGATGCTAACTAATTTTTTTATTTTAAGATCTTTGACCAACATTGTATTCTTTTGTTTTGTTTTGTTTTGCTTGGCTTTGATTTTGGAGACAGTGTCTCATTACATAGCCCAGGCTGGCCTCAGTCTGGCAATCCTCCTGCCTCAGCTTCCCTAGTGCTGTGATTAGTGATGGGTACAATCATGCCCAGCTTGAACCTTTGATAATGAAAATGTATTTTAAAACTTGTTCAGAAAATCCATAAATATAAATTCTCTTTGTAGTAGTAGGCTAATGACAAGAATGGCTGAAAAAATGTGACTTTTGCTCTGAGAATAAAGATTAAGATTTCTTTCTCAGTCTTCAAAGTGGTTCTGTCCTCTTTTGCTAGTTGGATGGCTACAAACTGAAACACTTACCCAGTTTAGCAGCTTTTCCATCCAAGTGCACAGTAAGCACATACCATTTATTTATGTCAGCCTGACATTTTTGTGCCTGGCTTGCTCATTTCAAGTATTACTTCCTTAAATGTAAATGCTGGCCTTTAGCCCTTACGCAAATAATTATTATAATTTTATGCCTAAAATGCAAGTGTTAACTGAGAACAAAGGAAGAAGACATTCTCATGAAAACCTTTGGAAGTGAGGGCATCAATTGCTGTGATCTCTGGGGATTTTTGTGGAGGAGCTCTGCAAGTAAAGGGCACTCAGCATGTTTATGTTGAAGGTGCTGGTGGTTGTTAGGGATGTGCTTTGACCCCTCCTGCCATACTTTAAAAAAGATAATAGCACATCTGCCTAGCATTTATTATATTAATTATTTTCTTCTAAGTTCCTCTTCTGAATTTTTTTTTCAAAATGTAGTGAGTGGATTTTGTTACCATGCCATTACAGGAAAAGGTACTATAGTTAAAATAAGATTATAATTTCCATTTCTAATTCAAGCGAATTGTTTGTTATTAGAAATATATTTGGTTATAAAATTTCTTTATGGCCTCACACAGTGAATTGACTTTGAGATGTAATCACATCAGCTTTGTTAGGAGTCATTTATTGAGAACCATGCTCCCATGGAGGTGTTCTTTATACAGTACAATTTTGATGTTACCATCTTGACTGCCTGGAAAAATAGTAAATAAGTCTCTCTTTCTCTGATATTGAATGTAGCAACTGTTTGAGTAACTAATATGCTGACATCAATATTATAAACACAAAAGGAAGCTTGGTCACCTAAATGTATCAAGCTCTTAAGGCACTCCCACCCCGCCCCCAGCCTATTTGTTTATAATATGGGTATATTTTTGTGAGGTCCAGTAATATTTATAACTCACATCAAAGGTACTATTTGCCTGGCATCAGAATACCTGGAAAGGTAAATTAGTAATGAGAAGATCCCTAGTGAGCATGGCATCAGATGAAAGTGAAACAGAGATTTGAAGTCTAATGAGTTTTTCTGTCTGTAGATTAGACTGCCTTGCTGCTGTTGACTACATGAACATTTGTCTGAATCAGTGGCTCTTTACTGAGGAGTCCAGCACTCCTTGCTTTCTAGGCGTCCCTTTCCGCTGTCCACGTTGACCTCTTCCTTGTCATCAAAACTGTCCGCAGACATCTGCAATACAGTGGATTCTGTTTCAGTTTATAACTACATTCTAATTGTGCCTGCTTAAGATTATACCAAGGTTACCTTGATTAAGATTTGGGCATAAAGTGGTTAGTCAAACCATATTTTACAATTTTACCAGTTTGCTTCCCAAGGGGTCAGTACCATTTCCCTCGCTGACCACTTCTTGAGGGACGTAACACTTTTGTCTCTATGTTACTTCTTAAAGATGCCTCGTATTGGCCAATTTCAGGTCATGCCCAGATGGTAGCATCTATTGTTGGGTGATACATAGAATCATTTTCACTTAGTAAAAAAAAAGAAAGTTCTAACAGTTACAAAACATAAAAGCAGGAAAAAAGAATTGAAAATAAGTATAATTAATGTATGTCTATGTATTTTAATTATAGTTCTAGGTTTGTCATACAGGTGCTTGCTTTGCTGTTTCAGGTGTTGTGCATGTGTTTCTTTTCAGGAGGTTTCAGCTGATTCAACTGCCACACTCACCGCAGCAGAAGAAAGAAAGGAGAAGATACCCAGCCCACACCTCAGTCACCTAGTGGTTTTGACATCTGGGGATACATTGTATGGGTTGGCAGAAAGAGTGGTAGCCACAGAATCCTTGTAAGTCATTAATAGCACTTGGTTTGCCATTCACCATGTAAGAAAAGTTATAAAACCAACTTTAAATATAATTAGGCTTCTAGCTGTACACAACTATCACTTCTAAATATCACTTATGTGTTTCTGAGTATATGTTACATAGATTGCCAATGGATTTTTAAAGCCATATTGTTGGTTTTCAATTATATAAACTAATTGAAGGAAATCTTTTAAGTTCTGATCTTTAGCAACACAAACTTTATGAAGCATTATGGTATAGCCAGGTGTGGTGACACATAGCTATAATCCCAGATGCTCTGGTGGCGGAGGGAAGAGGATCATGTATTTGAGGCTAGCCTGAGCAACACTGGTGAGACTCTGTCTCAAAACCAAAATAAAAACAAAAGGACTGGGATATGGCTCAAGTGGTAGAGTGCTTGCTAAGAGTACTGGTTAATTTCCCAGTGTTAATGGAAAAAAAAGTTGTTATACTTTATAATTCCCTGTTGACTGAAGATTGTAGGGGTCAGTAGTTACATTATTATTGTTCAGTAGCATTCATCTTTGGCATTAGCAAGAATGCATCCTGACCTTTATAAATCCCCAAATTTGTTAATTCAATAGGAGCATATAGCTTCTTCCATAAAATATAGTCCAGGATAACTTAAAAAATGTTTGCATACATAAGAAGAAATGGAGAAAAACAGTACTTAGTGGCAGTGCCTCTGCAGGTGGGGTTCAGGCTCATTTACCAGCCATGACTGCCCTCCTGCACCCCAGCTCCCTGCACCTGGTGTGCACTTGTGAGGCCTCGCCTAGCTATGCATATTAGGAATGTTTGGCTACTTGTGAAAAGTGTCACATGATGAATCTATGGATTCAAGAGTTTTTTTATATAATTGGATGGTATCTTTAAAAGAAACCATCCCAAAAATACCATATTCTCTTTTCAATCTTTTCTGTTATCGGTGCTCATTTTTACATGCAAAGCATCTTAACTCTATACTTTGTGGTAACCTGATTATCTCCTTTAAAGTCACTCTTCTTTCATCCCAACTTCCATTCAGTATGAAGTGAGCATTGATTATTGTGTAGATTGTAAGTGAACGTGTAAGTTCAGGGTACAAGGTAGTTCACTAAAATGGAAAATATTTTTAATTGTTAAAAGTTTTTCTTGGGGATCTTAAAATATTACTTACACAAAAACACTGATGGGCTCTAACCCTGCATAGCATGTTTACACAGCTGTTTACTTCCCTAGGGTATTCTTGGCTGAGCAGTTTGAGTTCCTTCAGCCACATCTGGATGCTGTGATGCCTGCAGTCAAAAAGCCCTTCCTGCAACAGTTTTACTCTCAGGTCAGAGATGCTCTTGTGTATCATTTCAACTTCGAGCAGTATGGGACTGTCACTGATTATTTACATTGGTTTTGTTTCGTTTGTTTGCTTGTTTATTTTTTTACTAGAGATCAGCCTTTAAGCCCCAGGCGAACTGGATAGAATATTCAACTATTCACTCATCTATTTATTCATTCACATTCCTATGTCAAATACTTATTGAGCACTCATGTAACTTTTAGTCTAGTGAGAGAAAGCCAATTAAAACTGTATTATTTATTTATGTTGGAATTGCTGTTTTAGTTTTATTTTTGGATTATTCATTGCTATTGTATAGAAATACAGCCTAATATAAACTATAATTATTATAAATTGTGTTAAGTGCTATGATGAAGGGAAAGAGCGATGACAACAAATTTAATTGTGGCTGGAGAAGGGGAGTTGTGGTTGGGAGAAGGCTGTCTGGAGGGAATAATGTTTAAATTACACAAGCGAGGGAGAAAGAGTGAGTTGGGGATGGAGTCCAAACTACAGGAGGTGAGAGAGAGCCTGGTGCTGGTGAGCAGCTGAGGAAAGTGCAGCTTACCAGGCAGTGAAGAGGGCAGGTTCTGAGAAAGTTGGAAGCAGAAGCCACGTGCTCCAGAGCATTCTCAGCTGGAGTTGGACTTTATTCTGAGGGCACTGGGAAGCTACCGTAGAGCTTGAAAAGTAAGAGGCATGCCCAGGTGTGTGTTTTAGAAGGAACCTTTGGGGGCGGGTGAGCAATGGACTCTGGATGGCAAGCCCAGAGGCAGCGAGACCAGTTGGAAGGCCATTATTTATTGGAAGTAAGATAAATGGAATCTTGAACTAGTGTACTGGAGTACGAGTGGAGAAAAGTGGAATAATTTGAAAAATAATTCTAGTCTTCAAGAAAATCTCTAGTTCTTGTAAAATTATAACATCAGTGGTCTCAAGTTTATGGACTGTCTCAAAATTGTATTTTGTATAAAAGCTTTGCCCTTGGATTAAGATATTTTCATAATAAATCTTCAAATGTATAGTGTCTCATTTTCAGATACAATGTATACCACAAATGGTGACAAAATGTTTATACATTTGATAATTTTAGGAAATAATTATTACATTTCTGTGTAATCATTTCAGACAGTTTCAACTGCTAGTGAACTTCGTAAACCAATTTACTGGATTGTAGCTGGTAAAGCTATTGATTATGAACAGATGCTGCTCCTGATGACTAATGTGAAGTGGGATGTGAAAGAAATTATGTCACAACACAACATATATGTAGATGCATTGTTAAAGGCAAGTGCTCTGGGAAACTCTTTGCTGAAGACCATTCTCCCCAGAGAAGTATTCCTTTTTTGCAATGGCTCTAAAATGGTTACGACAATAATGTCTAGTGGAGGGGTATTAAAGTTCCCAAAGTGGAATAGGCTTACTGTCTAAATTCTGTGATCTTATTTATACCTAAGAATACTCTATAGATTTTAAATTTTTGCTCACTAATTTCTCATGTTGAGTTAGAGTTTGATTACTGCAACCATGGCTGTCTTTCATGTTATATAACACAACCCCAATAGCCATGACTCTAAGGTCAACAAGATACTTCTGTTTAACTAGGTGTTATTTCTATAGGTTAGCGTGTATGTAACCATGTCCCTGATTATTCCAAGTTGTATTTTCTAGAAATCACATTATTTTTGCAATGTCTCATGACAACAGATCTGTGCTTTCAAAGATCAACATTTCATAGATTTCATAGAAAGAATTGTAGTTTGTTTTCATTTATGTATTAGTGGTTATTTAGAGGTCACTGGACATGTGTCATGCACTGATAGATGTGCTGGAAGTATAGTTGTGAATTAGGGAATTTATGTGCCCTCAAGGAATATCCATGCCAATGCAGACATGAGAGTGAACAGATGATTGAAATACATTAAGTGCTGTGGGAAATGCACACACGCGCACACACACACACATATGCATGTGCACACAGAGCTAAAGAAAGGTAGGAAATGACAGGATGTGGGTGAGAGGGGGTTGCCATTTATTTGCCCTGGTCACAGAAGGCCTCTGATAAAGTGAGTGGACAAAAGGCCTGAAGGAAATAAGGAAATGAGCCAGGTGGATATGAGAAGCAGGAAGAACATCTGAGAAGATGAAAGCTGCTTTCAGAAAAATTTTGTTTTTCATTTTTGTTGATGAAAAGAAATTGACCCTCTTTAAAAGACTTTTATCTCATTTACACATCATTCTTGCTTAGCTCAAGGCAATAAGTAGTGGCCTGGTACACCTGAGAACTGATGAAGCCATTGTAAACAGTGTCTTCAAGTTTCCATGGTGATCTAAGGAGGAGTAAGCACAGGGTACTCTCTTTGCCACCTTGGAATTAAAAGATCATTGACCTTTAATGATAATAAAATGAAAAATTTTGGTTTCCAGAGTATACAAGGAATTTTAATTGCATATTTTAAATTAGAATGCAAAAGATCAATATAATTTTTATATAATGGCACCCTCCTCATTTTTAACAATTCTGTTTGCAAAAAGTTGATTCTATTTTTTTTGTGACAGTCAGGTTGCTATAACAAAGTGTTTATAAACTGGGTAGTTTAAAAACAAATTATTTCTCATAGCTCTGGAAGCCAGAAAGTCCAAGCTCAAGGTCAGACAGAGTCTGACCCAATTTTTCATAGATGTCACCTTCCTGTGTATCCTTACATGATAAGAGGGGCAAGTCAGCTCTCTGGTGACTTTTATAAAAGCTCTAATGTAAGTCATTGCCTCCTAAACACCCCTCTCTCAGTGTCATCACCCGGGAAGTTAGGATTTCATCACATGAATTTTTGGGGAACACACATTCGGACCATGCCACATGCCAACAGTGGTACTCATAGGAATGTAAGAAAAGGACTTCTGCACTCAGCAGATATGCATAACAGAAGTAGTTATTTTCTTCAGTATTCTTAATTCTAGGAAGCATGATTATTAAAAGGAAGAACCAGTGTTATTCAGATTATTTACCTGAATCCAATTTTTAGCAGACTATAGCTTCTTTAAGCATAAAGGTTAGTTATCTGTGATAACTTCCATTCTTTGTATTACTTTTCCAAGTTTTAAATCGGGGAAAAGCAGCCCACATTCGTTGCCCTGAGAGAATTGCAAGTAAAATGAAATAGTTCTATTATTCATTTAATAAGCAGCATTCTTGAATGTTGAATTTAGTAGTAAGTAGACCATCAGTTTGTACAGCAAGAATATAGCTTTATCTTTAAAATTAACTGTTAATGAAAATTATTGACTATAACTCTTGAAATCCAAAGCAGTTTACTATAGCGAATACATAAATAACCACCATATCAAATGCTATGCTTTGTGAGATCCAGGAAGTGAAGCAACAGATGAAGAGCATTACTTACTGAACTTCATTTTTCAAAGGAAAACTTAGTGGGTTGAGGATCCACTTCTTCTAAAAAAAAAAAAATTAAAAGCAGTGAACTGTTAAAAATAAATCAGCAAGGAAAATTGTGATTTGAGAAGTAGCGGAAGAGTAGAGGGTAACACAGTTATCATTATGTGGTGGCTGGACTAGGGATGATAGGATTAGATTTTTTTCTCCTTTGTGCCATTAGAACGTTTGAACACACATCAGCCCTGACTTGTCAAATGTGGTGTCACTTTTCTATTCAGGAAACTAAAGACAAACATCATTTTAAGTCTTCTAAATTTATGAAAATATTGCCAAGGATGGGTCAATGGCATGTCCTTTTATAAATGAACATATTTAGATTAGAGTAGTTCAAAGACACCACGTTTTGAAGGGTGCACCATCTCCTGCTTTCATTTAATTACTGGGATTTTCTAAACTCATTGTATATATTTTTATTTTTAGTACAGTCCTGTCAGAAATAAAAGTTAACAGACAATAAAGTATGTTCAGTTTTTCTGTACAAAATAGAAAATATTTTGGAGTTTTTTTTTGTCTTTGTGCTAAAAATTTGTAGCTGTGACCTGATTTCAAATCATTTGGTACAAAATAATATATTCAGACAATGCTTAGGAAAGAGAATAATTTATCAGATTGCTCTCTAAGGAAGACAAATCATAAAGAGTTAACTTTCAGTTGAAAGCTTATTAACATGTTTTTTAAAAAATAAAACTATGGTTCTCAAAGATATTTTTAAACCAAATTAAGTCAGTTAGCTCTGTTTGTTCATAGTGACAACCAGAGAAACATTGGAGATGCAGAAACATTTGGACATTATTAACATTGTTTAGTCACTTAATAACACTTAGTTCTTTTCAGATGAAATGTAGTGTGTTCTGTACTAGAACACAGCCTATTCATATTTTTAGACATCTTCACACTAAACCTAAATTATCTTTGCCATTAATTCCTTTTTGCTTCACTTGTTTTGATTCTAAGTATTTTTTTTCTTTTTTACCATTTTTGTGGGGAAGTGCTGCAGCAGTAAAATGATAATCACATATTGTCCACGACTTTTGTTTTCTTAGGAATTTGAACAGTTTAATAGGAGGTTAAATGAAGTTTCTAAGAAAGTTCGGATACCTTTGCCTGTGTCTAATATCCTTTGGGAACATTGTATACGACTGGCTAATAGAACTATTGTGGAAGGGTAAGTCTTTCATGAAAGCATTATCTTACTTGTTTCTTAACTGATAAATTATAATATATGGATAATATTGTATGCTATGACTAGAAGATGGATAAAACAGGTAGAGGTAATGATAGGCAGACAAGTTTGAAGTATGATTTGAGAAGAAACCCTAAACCCCATTGTGCCTGTCTTGGTCTATGCTTTTTTTTCTTGCTGGTGACACAGAATTAAGCTAGGAGATGACTGAGGAACGCTAAATCATTAGATTATCTGAAAGTTAAAATAATAATTATTACCTATTAATAAAATTTTTGTAATGGTAGTTATTCTTAACATTAGTTTAATACTAAGTATATGACACTTATTGAACCAAACATTTCACAGAATTACATCACCAAATCCTGATTTACCTCTTTTTGATAGACACTATTATTCTGTTTGTCAATAAGAAAGCTTAGGCTCAGAAAATCAAGAATTAAAGAGGTTAAGTAAATTGTCCAAATTCACAGTTTTCAAATACAGAGATGGCATATAAACTACTGGTTTTCTGATGACAAATCCAATCCTCACAACTCCTTCCATCACTGTTCATCATTTTTGAATCACTGGCAACTGTATCAGTCTTTCATGTGCAGATTTACAGATCTGTGTGCTTTGCCCGCAACTTGTAGAATACAAAGAAGACAGTAACATATTCCATTCAAAATGTCCATGAAAGTGAACAGCCATGTCAAAGACTGTGTAGTGATCTAAAATTGCACGTCAATTGAATTCTCACATTGTCATGGTATAACTTCTCTTTATCTCTCATTTGTTATAAAAAGAGTGTATTAGAAAGTGGGAAGGTGTTGGGGACAGACTGACTACTGTCTTGGCACGATGTATGGAAACTAGCAGTTGATATAAGTCATAAAACACTGTGTCAACAACCGCACTGAAAAGTACTTTCAGTAAATTTGTTTAAAGTAAAAAAGTGAGTAATACATTTTAGGTTTATGTATGAACCACTTTATTGGGGAAAAAAAGCTTGGTCAATAAAATAAATTGTATTCTCTTACAAGTTTCATTAGGGGAAATACCTCATTCCTTAAGGTTGAATTTTCCATGGTATGTATAATTGATTGAAGGAGTGATAACACTGATTGAGGAGGAATAAAATGTTGTTCTGTTAAGCTTAATATATTTATTGTTATTATTAGTACACCTTAAAACATGCAGTGTTCAATAGTGTGGGTGTTGGAATAAGTCTATGAATTATTTTATCATGGAAAATATATACAGTGTTCATTGGAGAATTATTTCATTTGTTTCCCTTGCATTGAGTATTGATAATATTGAATAGTTTTATAAAACTTAGATTTATAAAACTTTGGAGTACTCAAAATTTCGTTTTATAAATAACTCTTGGCAGCCAGATTAACAAAAATACCACTTTTTGCTTTCTTATGGCAGCTGTATTGATCGGGTGCAGAGAACTACAGTGCATATATAGAGCAACAAAGAACTTTGAAATTATTCATTCTCTTTTCTTTGCAGATGAGGAAATTGAAGTCTAGATAGGAAAAATGGCTTTTTAAAACCTGATAATTCAACTCTCCCCTTGTGACACCCAAGGCTTATATGCTGTTTTTCCTTGAACCCTTTCAGCTTTGGACAATCTATCTATATGTGGTTTAGAGAAAAGTTTAGGTACCTAAAGTTTTCTTTTTCTAATTATCCCATTATTTGTATTGTGTTATTATTTTGTATCTTAGATATGCCACTGTTAAGAAGTGCAGTAATGAGGGTCGTGCCTTGATGCAATTAGATTTTCAACAGTTTTTAATGAAACTTGAGAAACTAACCGATATTAGGCCCATTCCTGACAAAGAATTTGTGGAAACCTATATCAAAGCCTACTACCTAACTGAGAACGACATGGAACGCTGGATCAAAGAGCACAGGGTGAGAGCTCAAAAACAGTAAATTAAGTTTTGTGCTGTTCTTGTCTGGTGTATTATGTAATTCAAAATTATAAGAGTGAAATGCAAAGAAACATTTGCTTTTAAATAAACTAACATGATTCTGTTCTTCACCACTTTCAAAGTGTGTTCGTGCAGTGTCCTTTGCCTAAACAAATCCTTGACCCTTTTTGAACTATAACAGTGATATCTGGACATATAGTCAAAGTGAGAGAGAGTATTACTTCTTCCTGCAAGTGTGTTGTAGGAAAAGACTGAAGTTGGTTAACATTAATATAGATTAAATATAGTAACATTGAAATAATTCATAAGATAGAGTCTGTTACAGAACTTAAGCTTCGTACCTCTCAACTATGAAATGGTACAAGCTAAACACTCTGGCATGTATTAATAATGATTGAAGACCTTAATATTAAATAGTTAACTTTCATTCTATGATAGATTTTTCCTTTAATATAAATTTGATTACTTTTCTTTTGTGGGAGAAAATACTGGTTATTTGTTATTTAGGATTCTTAATTTTCCAGTAGTTCTATTCAACGTAGATCACTTAAATATGCTTGGTATGGGGAGCTTTTCCATATGATTATGTCCTTATTTTCTGCTTTTTCAACTCAGTAAGCAGTTTGTCTTCTATGTCTTTTGACTATAATTTCCACTGTTTTCACTGGTTTGTAGTGCTTAAAACTACCCATTGACATTGACTATCTGCCTGCCTCTTCTAGCATTGGTCATATGTATGTCCTTTGGGTTCTAAATTTCTGTCTTCTTTCTGTGAACAGGAATATTCAACAAAGCAGTTAACCAATTTGGTGAATGTTTGCCTGGGATCCCATATCAATAAGAAAGCAAGACAAAAACTTCTGGCAGCTATAGATGATATAGACAGACCTAAAAGATAATGAGCAAAGCTCCCTTTCCTCAGTGGCATTGATCTTCTCTCAACATATATAACATGAAAGGCAATTTTTCATGCACTACTGACAACTGCCTGCTAAGAAACCTTTGTGCATGTTCTTTCCAACAGGAAGGTGGAAAACACTGAAGTGCATATGGTGTTTCAAGTGACTTTTATATGCTTCAGTCTCTTCAACTTTTGGTCTCATTTGTTATCCTTTTCTGAAATGATATTATTGCCATGTCATAACTATTGTTATGTGACTACAATTATATGTTTTACATAAGAATGTAACATAAATGCGTAATTATAGAGAACAGTGACTGATGTATCTATGAACAGTTTTTGGAGAGTGAATTTATGTTGGCATTTTTTTACCCTCTGAACTTCATCCTTAATAAGCATAATATGAAGTGGTTGATGTACAGTATTTCCTAATTATGAGCACTGCATGAGAATTAAAAAGTACATGTAAGTGAAATAGTTGAAAAATTCAGTATGTTCAGTTTTTAAATGTCAAAATTTATTTCGGGGTTGATTTGGTTATAACAGTGATATCAATGATGAAGTTTAATAAATATTATACTCCAAAATGATCAGCTTGTGTGAGTCTACATTTGGATATTTTCACCTGGCAGGCAGATTTCATGAAACTGTAATGCAACTTTTAGCATGTTTTGTACCCTGAAACTAATGGTGAGAAGTAATTCCATTGTATATACCTTTTTGGTGCCTCGGTAACATGAGAATGTTTATTGTGGGAATTTCTTTTATCTTTATAAAAATATGAAATATTTTCCTCTCTTTCAATTCAAATTTGTCTTCAGACAGTAAAACCTGGGTTGACTAACTCAGGGAAGAGCTGTCTTAATCAAGCCTAAATATAGAATCATGGTCTTCCTTAAGTACTTGGATTGTAACAAAAGTGTAAGACTGAGTATAGCCAATGATTAACTTTAGAAACCAGTTAATTAGTATGCAGTAATTATGTACTAGTCCGCTAAACTTTGCCCTGGAGCCAGTGTCTTCTCCCAATAAATACGTAGGACTTGAAATTTCCCGTATACTTCTGCCAACTATCTAATAAGGAGTTTTGTGCATATGCTTTCTGACTTGTAGTGTTGGTCCAACGACTACTCCAACATTGCTAGCTCACAGGATCCTAAGACATTGCATTGGTCTCAGGTGCTGAAATGAAGGGCAGTGGGTGGCATGTGATGAAACATGGAGGTGATTAGGAGATGATTGCCACTCTTTGTCCACCAGTCCCTGGTGGGGGGACACAGTACACATAGTACTGTGTACACAGTACACTGTACACATAGTACAGTGTGAAGCACTTTCAGCGTTTGTTGGCATGTGGGTGCTTATGTATGTGTCTCCATGGAGAGCTTTTTATTTTCAGCCTCAAGTTACTTCACAGTCCATTTACTGTCAATTTAAAACTTTCCTCTTACAAAATCATGAGTTTGGTGCCATTATGATCTGCTCATGATGCTAGACTATGTACTTATAAAATAGATTCTGCCTGTAGCCTTCATCTATTTGCAGACACTTGAAGAAAACAAATACAAAATAAGCTTGGTCCTTGTGTTTAATGGCATATTCAACTGGGAATATAAAAAACTAATCAGTCTTATTTTTTTGTCAATTGATAAGGAGATGCTTATTTCTTTTTTTTTTACATGGATTTATAGTTAGTTTCCATTAATTTCTACTTCAGTTGGCTCTAGATAAAATGAACAGCAATTACCTGCTCGGTAGAGGCTGGTTTTTTCCCAAGGTAATAGTACTTCATACAAAAGAATTATTTATCTTGTTAGATAAGAGACTCAACCATGCAATCTGACAGACCTTTTAACCTTCCTTTGCTTTCTCTGTCTTCAAAATGAAAATGGTAAATCTTCTCAATGATTTTTGAAAAAAGGTTTTGTTTGGATCTTGCATTAAAAGATAGCTTAGTAAGTGCCAACATCAAAACAGTAACAGAAGTTTTGAATCATGAAATTACCTAATAATGAGAATTACCAGACATTTCTCAAATACATTATGCAGAAATACCGAATTATAACAATATAACATCTTGTGAGACTAATTTTAAGATAAATAGAATTGAAAAGCTGAAAAAGCAAATGGAAGTGCACATTCTAAAACTACTATGGCTACCCAAAATTTCTTTTGGAGTCTAAATTTTCTTTTGGCATTTCATATGAAGTGTCCTGTAGAATTCAAGATTTTAAATTGATATGGGAACCAAGTAAATTAGTATCCTCTGAGAAAGGATGATTATTAATATAATGCACTGTTTTGCATCTTAAATTGCTAGGAAGATACATAGCAATTCAAATGACCTAATTTGCTTCAGTTTTTAAAAATCAAAAAGATCTTATAAGTACATTTTAATTAATAGGCTCATTTATTCAACTTACAAAATGAAATCAAATTTCACACGAAGCCAGGACCATATGGTATCTTCTATCTTTAAGCAGAACTTCCTTTAAAATTTTTACTTAGCTGAGTGCTTAAGTAAAACTTTAAGTTAGATTAAATAGTTTTTTCTTTACTCACTCACTGAAAAGTAGTCATAAAAAGGCTTGTAATTCAATTCACTTTGAAAGCAAAGCTATATCTTTTATAATGAAAGATTGTACCCGAAGATGAATACAAGTTGTGCCTAGAGCAAATAGAAGTGGTAGAGGGGAAGGACAAAATACATATACATTACCTTGGAGTAATTTTGATAGATTTTGTGGTTAACAAAATGATATTTAGCTCTTGACAATGATTAATGATAAGAGCATTAATATTTTGGTGTAATCTTTGTGAATGTTTATACTGGTTCAGCTTTCTGCAGATTTTTTTTCTTATTGTGGAAAATTCTTGCTAAATTTCTATCTTCCACAAAATTTAAAGGTCATCAAAAATTTTAAGCTGCACAATTCTCACAAGGATAAAACTATCATATTTATACATGAAAATTCCTAAGAAGTTCAAAATGAATGGAGAAAAATAGCTCATTAGCTTTGATATACTTCTCTTGATTGGCACATCCTTTTGTGAATATTTCTAAGTGTACCTGGATTGCTTTTTTTTCAATTTGAAAACAAACCACAGTTAATATTTTACTTCACTTAGAAAGATCCCTGTGGAAATGTGGTACTTACTGATGTGATTAATATAGAACCTGTTTTGGTTTGTTTGTTTTTGAAGAAACATTTTTGTACGTTACTTTCGAAATTACTCTTTGATCTCAAGATTGAAGAGACTTTTGGCCAGTTGAGGATTTCCAAATTTCTGTCTAAGCTGTTTTTCACACTGAGCTGAATCTTTCCATCTAGAAAAGGAATTTTCTTGATCAACAATCTTTGTTTTATTCTGTTTCTTTTCAATACCTGGTGTCGTAATTCTGTCTCCCAGTACCAAAGAATTTCTGTTTTCAGGAATAGGCATTTCCACACTGTGGGGATTTTTACTCAATTACAACAAGCAGCAAGCATGCTAATCTTTGTCTTAAATGGAAGGGCCTTTATAGTCAGGATTTCCATTTTGATAGAGCCCAGTTCTAGAGCCTTCACTGAGATGTAATTGTACAATAGTACAATTGTACAATAGTACAATTGTACAATAGTACAGACAATTCCTGCTGGCTTCCTACTGTCTGCCTCACCGTACTTCTGTTATCCTTATTTCCTATTCAAGATGTTATCTTTAAGAACTGGACCACAATACTGTGCTTTCCATGAAGCATACCTACTCAAGGACAGGTATTACAGAAGAAAATTTATAGAGAATGGTGGTGATCCAGTTTTAACAGGAGAAGACCTTATGAGGAAGGAAGTGAGAGAACTAGCTAGCAGATGTCAGGCAGAGTGTTGCAAGCTAAGAGAATGACGTGTGCAAAGGCCCCAGGATGGAAGCCATGTGGCTGCCACGGTAAGAAGGAGAAAGTGAGAAAAGATGTGGCAGGAGGCATCACACTGTGAAGGCCTGTGGACCACAGGAAGGGCTTTGTACTTACCTTTCAATGGGAAGCATTTATAGGGCTGTGACCATTTATATAGTGGTGACCTGCTTTATGATCTCAGATTTTACAAAATCAATGTGTATTTGAAAAGAAACCACAGAAGAATGCCCACCAAAGCAAGGAGACAAGGTCAGGAAGCTAATACAGTAATTTCCGAGAAGTATAAGTAGGGCTAGGAACACAGTAGTATTGGTAGATATGGTGGGGGTTTGGGGGGTCAGACAGCAGATGTGCTTTGAAGACAGAGACAATATGATTTGTTGCTTGATGTCATGTTTGAGAAAAGAGGCATTAAGGATGATTTAAGACTTGCTTGAAGCCAAGGAGCAATGGGCTTGTGAAGGAGATCAGGAAAACAGTTTGGGGGAGGGAAGCTTGAGGTTCTGTGAGACATTCAGTTGGAGGTGTAGAAGGGGCAGCTGCAGGTTGAGAGAAATGTCAAGGCTGTTGATGAAAATGTGAGTCATCCTAAAGCCAAGCTTTCTTTAGGAAGCAGAAAAGGGCACCTTTAGAGTTGCCATGTTTCATGCAGTAGAGCTCAGGAAAAATTCCACATCTCAGGATGGATTAAGAAAAGGAAACTTTCTTGGGGAAACTTACAAACCTGGTAAAGATGGAAAAAAACCCACTAACCCACCTCCTTGCATTGTCACCATGAAGAGTGAGACAGGACCAGTATCATACTGGATAGCAGACACCTCACTACCTGGGCCCTCCAGAAATTACAGCTCCTTTGATAGGAGAAGAAGGCCATCGCTCCTCCAGGAAGATATGTTCTGGTGCAGTTTGTCATCCAGGCCACAGAGTAAGCTCTTGAGTCATGCTGTCCAGAGTCTTTCCTGTGTCAGACACTGCGTGAGTTCTTTTTTTTTTTTCACCCACTCCGCCCCCTCCCTGTCCCCCCCACCCCCTCAATACCCAGCAGAAACTATTTTACCCCTTATCTCTAATTTTGTTGAAGAGAGTATAAGCAATAATAGGAAGGAACAAGTGTTTTTGCTAGTTGAGATAAGGATAGCTATACAGGGAGTTGACTCAGATTAATTTCCTGTGCGTGTATGTTACCTTCTAGGTTAATTCTTCTTGATCTAACCTTTTCTCTAGTTCCTGGTCCCCTTTTCCTATTGGTCTCAGTTACTTTTAAGGTATCTACTTTAGTTTCTCTGCATTAAGGGCAACAAATGCTAGCTAATTTTTTTCTTTTATTATTCATATGTGCATACAAGGCTTGGGTCATTTCTCCCCCATGCCCCCAACCCCTCCCTTACCACCCACTCCGCCCCCTCCCTCTCCCCCCCCTCAATACCCAGCAGAAACTATTTTGCCCTTATCTCTAATTTTGTTGAAGAGAGTATAAGCAATAATAGGAAGGAAAAAGGGTTTTTCCTGGTTGAGATAAGGGTAGCTATACAGGGAGTTGACTCACATTAATTTCCTGTGCATGTGTTGTTACCTTCTAGGTTAATTCTTCTTGATCTAACCTTTTCTGTAGTTCCTGGTCCCCTTTTCCTATTAGCATCAGTTGCTTTTAAGGTATCTGCTTTAGTTTCTCTGCGTTAAGTGCAACAAATGCTAGC